ATAGTCTGAGTTAATGAAAACTGCATTTCTTCACTAAAGTAGGAAAGTAAGATGACATGTGTCACCATCCATGACTGAAACACATGTGTATGTCTGTATTTAAAAGTGCCATAAATAGACAGCAGACACTTTACCAAATGTCTATATTTAAAAAATAATAAATTTATTGTAGATTTAAAAGCTATTCATCTCATTTTTAGTCTGTTTCTAAAGAAAACCAATCAATTCTGTTACAGGAGAGACTTTCTGTTCTTTCAAAATAAAATAATAAAAGGTTAGGATTGTATAAAAGGTGTCTTTAAAATGGTATCAGTGTTAGTATTGGCTCAAATTCACAATATCAGTTATCTGCAAAAATCTAGTTCAATAAATGCTCCGTAAGTGTAAGCTTTCACCAAAAAACTTCAAAATAAAAGCACAGAAAGAAAACAAGAGGAGCAGAAATGAGGGATCACTTAGAGGAAATGTTCATCTTTGTGATATAAACATAAAGAAACAGACCTCAGCTGATTATTATTGGCAGAAAGCTATGTTCAATGTTCTGCTCACACCAATTCACTGAACGGTCAGATTTGTTAACACACACGCCTGAAAATCAAGCTGTTCTGAGGCTGCCATGCCGCCAAAACAGTTCCTGTATGAAGCACCAGGGTAGGATACAGTCTGCTGAAGAAATGCAAGTAAGTCAAGGTTTACTGCACAGAACCAGACCATCAGTATAACCCCCAATTTTCACTGCATCCTGAACGGCTACGAAAAGTCCGTATACTCCGATCGTAGCTGATCATAACCATTCAAGTTAACCTGTACATTTCCACCGGCTTCTTGCCGTTCCCCTGCGGATCACTGGACTCCACAGCTGATTACAAGAGTTCTATTTTTTCTGGATGCTGGAGCATGGAAAGGAAGTCAGGCACAGACACAAAATAAAACATCCGACTTCTTTCCAAAATAAAACACTTGGTGTTTCAGGCTGATCGTACAAAACCCAATTCCATTGAAGTTGGGAAACTGTGACAAATGAAAATAAAAACAGAATACAATGATTTGCAAATCCTATTTAACCTATTTTCAATAGGTTAAATTCAAAAACAAGATATTTAATGTTCAAACTCATAAACTTTATTTTTTTTGCAAACAATAATGAACTCAGAATTTTATGGCTTCAACACGTGCCAAAGTAGTTGGGACAGGGGCATGTTTACCACTATGTTACATCATCTTTCCTTTTAACAACACTCAATAAACGTTTGGGAAGGTGGAATTCTTTCCCATTCTTGCTTGATGTACAGTTGTTCAACAGTCCGGGGTCTCCATTGTCGTATTTTACGCTTCATAATGCGCCACACATTTTCAATGGGAGACAGGTCTGGACTGCAGGCAGGCCAGTCGAGTACCCGCACTCTTTTACTATGAAGCCACGCTCTGTAACGTGCAGAATGTGGCTTGGCATTGTCTTGGCATCTGAATTTTGCCTCGATAACAGTCTGGATGGTTCTTTTCCTCTTTGGCCTGAAGGACATGACGTCCACTATTTCCAAAAACAATTTGAAATGTGGACTCATCAGACCACGGAATACTTTTTCACTTTGCATCATTCCATCTTAGATGAGCTCGGGCCCGTTTCTGGATGTTGTGAGCTCGGGCAGCATTTCTGGATGTTGTTGATAAATGGCTTTCGCTTTGCATAGTAGAGTTTTAACTTGCACTTACAGATGTAGCGACGAATTGTATTTACTGACAGTGGTTTTCTGAAGTGTTTCTGAGCCCATGTGGTGATATCCTTTACACATTCATGTCAGTTTTTGATACGGTGCCACCTGAGGGATCGAAGGTCAAGGCAATGTTGGTTTCTGGCCGTGCCGCTTACATGCAGTGATTTCTCCAGATTCTCTGAACCTTTTGATGATATTATGGACCGTAGATGTTAAAATCCCTAAATTCTTTGCAAGTGTACTTTGAGAAATGTTGTTCTTAAACTGTTCAACTGTTTGCTCACACAGTTGTTCACAAAGTGGTGAACCTCGCCCCATCCTGGCTTGTGAATGACTGAGAACTTTTGGGGAAGCTGCTTTTATACCCAATCATGGCACCCACCTGTTCCCAATTAGCCTGCTCACCTGTGGGATGTTCCAAATAAGTGTTTGATGAGCATTCCTCAAATTTTTTTCCACCTTTCCCAACTTCTTTGTCACGTGTTGCTGCCATCAAATTCTAAAGTTAATGATTATTTGCGAAAAAAACAATCAAGTTTATGAGTTTGAACATTAAATATGTTATCTTTGTAGTATATTCAATTGAAAATAAGTTGAAAAGGATTTGCAAATCATTGTATTCCGTTTTTATTTACGATTGACACATCTTCCCAACTTCATTGGAATTGGGTTTTGTATTTCACACCATGCAAACGGGAGGAGACGAACAAGTGAAAGGTTTTTAAACGTCATTTCACCCTGATGACACCATGGATGAGGAGATGCTGATTCTAGAAGTCTAGAAGTAGATTTCCTCCTCTGGAAGGACACAATTTACTGCTTACATATAAAGGACCAAATGACATAAGTAAAAATAAGTAAATAAATAAATTAAAAATTAAATACATGCATAAATAAATAAATAAAATAATTTTTGAAAAATAAAAGGTATTTTTTTTATTTTTTGCCTTAATATATTTCTTATTCTTTTATATTTAATTGTATTTATTTACTTATTGTCACATATACTTATTTTTACTTACCTTTTACCTTTTTTTTAACTTTTATTTATTCATACTTGTATTTATTTAATTATTTTTACTTTTATTTATGTATTTATTTATTTATTTATTTTTAAATATATTTATTTATTTATTCGTTCATTTATTTATTTATTTAATTCCACATTTATTCATTTATTTCAACATTTATTTATTTATGTGTCCATGTCAGACGTGTCACACTGCCATGTAAATATGCAAATAAGGTAGGCAGACCTACGTTCGTCTAAAGCCCGATTGGTCACCAGATAGGTCTGAAATACTGGAGAGTCCCGGGGAAAACAGGAGTGTTGGCAGGTATGTTATAAGCGGTGTGCGTTTCTGCGAGGTGCACAGTTCTCGGCAACAGTGGCACAAACGAAGCACAAACGATCAGTACCATTTCGGGTCCATTTGGAGCAAATGGAGGGGCTGGGTGACGTCATCACCGAAAAGTTAAGTGTGTAATAAGTTAATAACCGTAGAAGAACAAACTAAAATTTTAACGGAAAAAAACCAGCACAAACCAGCACAAATGAAGCAGACTATTTTCCCGAAATTTTGCGTGGGGTGGGGGGCCAGCTTCACGCAGGTCTCACATTTGGCCAATGCTATGAGTGAGTGGCCGACGCAGTGCAGCAGAGACCCCATCCACTGCTCACAAGTGGCTGCGATGTGAGAAAAGTGTATCATGGGATTGATTCGGTTTGCTTCTGTCTGGCGTGTCTGGTGACCAATCGGGCTTTAGTCGAACGTAGGTCCGCCTACCTTTTTTGCATATTTACATTGCAGTGTGACACGTCTGACATGGACACATAAATGAATAAATGTGGAAATAAATGAATAAATGTGGAATTAAATAAATAAATAAATAAATGAATAAATAAATAAATACATAAATAAAAGTAAAAATAATTAAATAAATAAAAGTATGAATAAATAAAAGTTAAAAAAAGGATAAATAAAAGTAAAAATAAATAAATGTGATAATAAATAAATAAATACAATTACATATAAAAGAATATAAAATATATTAAGGCAAAAAATAAAAAAATAACCTTTTATTTTTCAAAATTATTTATTTATTTATTCATTCGTGTATTTAATTTTTTATTTATCCATTTATCTATTCATTTACATTTCTTTACTTATGTCATTTTTGGTCCTCCATACTTATATGTCTTTGTGTCTGTCTTTATAGAGGCAACTTGTTATCGCGCAAGTGAACGTGAATCTGCGGGTTCTTGTGACAAACAGATCCAGTAGGAATTGGTGGGCAGTAAAAATTGCTGCCGTTCCGGATTGGAGCTGTTCCAGACGTGGTGGATACTAAGGGTAACAGTGGACGCCGGTCAGGAAAGAGTGTACAGGACAAACACACACACACACACACAGACAGTGTTAGAGCAGATGAATACTAAAGAAACCTGCTGAGAGTCCAAAAACTTTGAGAGTTAGTTTGAGTCGTTGTGAAACATCTACTAAGAGGAGGGGGGATTAGTGTTGATGGTGTGACAACAAACTGAGTGAGAGTTTGATCGGATTTGATTTAAGTGTGTGTGTGTGTGTGTGTGTGTGTGTGTGTGTGTGTGTGTGTGTGTGTGTGTGTGTGTGTGTGTGTGAGACCACAGGCAGAGGAGCTGGTCCCCCATTGCTCTCTGACTCTGTGTGTGTGTGTGTGTGTGTGTGTGTGTGTGTGTGTGTGTGTGTGTGTGTGTGTGTGTGTGTGTGTGTATGTGTGTGTCTGTGTGTGTGTCAGAGGTAATTGAGTGTGTCAATAAAGGGGGGAGGGCAGACCCCCCCTGCAGCTGAACCGCGGGAAACGGAGCCTCATTAGTGGGCCATCACAGTCTAGAAGTCTCTCTGAGATCCATCGGGGGGGGGGGGGGGGCCTTTAGCAACCCCCCCCCCCCCCCCCCCCACCACCACCACCTCCACCAGCCTGGATCAGTCGTCCTCCTTGCCATCGTCTTAATTGCCATCATCTTCTTCACTATCGTCTTCTTCTTCTTCTGCTGTTGTTGCTCTCTGCAGCTGCTTATGTAACAGCACACCTTCACCCACAGAGACGAGATAATGGGCACACACACACACACACACACACACACACACACACACACCTCATGTTTGTATTTGTGTTGTTATGTGGACTAGATAAAAGTCTCAAACACTGAGGCACATTTTCCTTAATCACAGAGGACTGAATCCTCACGCAGAAACACGGTTATTCCTGTTTCTAACCTGAACCCCTGCAGAGGAGACACCGTCCTGATGATGAAGATTTAGGACCATAAACCGTGGAGATCATGGATGATGATCAGTCGTTTCTCAATGGTATTTTTGAAGTCCAAAGTTTGCCTTTTTTTCCCTGGACTCTTACTCTGAAAGGATTTGGATCAGAGAGCGTGGCTGTAGAGGGGAAGGAGGATGGCTCACACTAAGAAATCAAAGCTGAGCGGTCCACACTTGTGGATAATTTAATCACTGCTAATGAGGCTCTTTACCCTCATGTGTCCCACTGAGTGAGACTCTGTTTGTGGTGGAGACCCACGGCTGATTATTTATGAGACGAGTGGAGCTCAGAGAGGGACTTCAGCGTACAGGACTCACTGTCTGCAGGCTCACCTTCATGGATGCACTCAGGTTTTAAGTTAATGTCTAAAACATACGTACTGATTCACTACAAACTGTAACCGTCTGTCTTCTCTCTAATAATATTTTCACTCTAACAGCTAAGTCATACACAAACTCAGTCTGGACAGTTTTCATGGATCCACAAACGAACTGAAGTGTTTCTGTCCCAGTTTAATTTTTTAAACATGGAGCCCTATGGGGACTGACTCAATTCTGTCGGCGGCCCCAAGTGGATACAAGAGGAACTGCAGGTCTGTCACTTCAACTTTAGTTTTTAACAGCAGAGCTTCTATGTCACTATTACAGTGATTGAGCTGGAACTGATGAATAAACAGATAAATAAACCAACAAACAAACGAAGAGCAAACAAATGACGTGACTAACAACCCAAGGAACTAACTAACTTACTAACTAACTAACTAACTAACTTATTAACCAACTAACTAAATAACTAACTAACTAACTGACTGACTGACTAGCTAACTAACTGACTAACTCACTAAGTAGCTGCTCACACTTTTTTTACTGTAGGAAGCTCGACTCAAGATGTTAGTTAGCCAAGATGTTAGTTAGCCAGACTCACTCTGTTTAATTTATATCAACAGAGTGAGTCCAAGGTTGATTGGAGCAGCGAGAAGGTCAAAGGTCTTGTTTATTTTGGACTAATGAGCATATTTGAAAAAAGTCAGATGAGATTAGATTAGATTAGATTAGATCAGATTAGATCAGATTAGATTAGATCAGATCAGATTAGATTAGTCGAGGTTAGATTAAATGAGTTTAGATAAGATTAGATTGCATTAGATTATGTAAGATTACATTAGACTAGATTAGTTGGGGTTAGATTAGATTTAATGAGATGAGACTAGATTAGAGTACATTAGATTAATTCAAACCTAAATTAAATTAGATTAGATGAGGTTAGGTTAGATTAGATAAGATTGGATATGATTAAATTAGATTAGATCATATCAGGTTAGATTAGATCACATTAGATTAAATTAGATTAGATTATTGTAGGAGATGACCGATTTCTGCTTTTCCTCCTTTGATTCATCCTCAAAGGAATGCAGTGACTGCGGTCACTGAAAGGAGATGGGGGGTGAATTTCGACACCAAACCATGGTCTTTTTATAACCTCCTGTCTGTGGGAACTAACCAAGAGGTGATCTTCCAAAAGACAGACAGTCAATCTTTTGCATAGCAAAAACAAAGTTGCTAATTTCTAGCAGGACCCCCAGACTGGATAAACACTCACCTGTCTGCTCTTAGCTGGAGACTCTCAAATTTGACTCCTTAACCTTAAACCTTAAAAGTCTACTATGCAAAGCGAAAGCCATTTTTGTGTGTGACTGAGCGCCCTGAGAGTGGCAGCAAGTCACAGCAGCTCCTCACAGAGTTTACGTTTTTGCCTTTTTATTGTTGTTTTTTGCACCTTATTTGTATTTCTTTTTTATTAGCAGGGTTGTGTTTTGCATACTTCAACCATGGATGTGCATTTCATGACTCTAGCACTTTGTTTTCTTCTAATTGTCAGAGTTTTTAAGTCCGCGTCTGGGGACCCGTTCAGTGGCTCTATTGTTTACAGCCGTGAACAGCTGTTGGCGCTGCGCCAAGCCCGGCCACCTTCGTGGGAGAAACCCGACATCCCTGCCAAGCTCCGCAGGAGAAGAAGAGGATGCAGAGCTGGAGTTCAGCATTGGGCAAAGCGGAGACGTTTTAAGCTTTTTCCTTTTTCTAAATTTTTTCTTAATTATTACATTTATTTAAGTTCTTAATTTTTATAACTGCATTTTTGCACTATCTTTGTCTGTGATGCTGCTGTGACAAAAAAATTTCCCCCATGGGGGATCAATAAAGGAATCTTCTATTCTATTCTATATTGTATTTATCAACAACATCCAGAAAGTTCAAAAGCCAGCGTCTGTGATGGTATGCGGGTGCATTAGTGCCCAAGGCATGGGTAACTTACACATCTGTGAAGGCAACATTAATGCTGAAAGGTACATACAGGTTTTGGAGCAACATATGCTGCCATTCAAGCAATGTCTTTTTCATGGACGCCCTTCCTGCTTATTTCTGCGAGACAATGCTAAGCCACATTCTGCACGTGTTACAACAGCGTGGCTTTGTAGTTAAAAAGTGCGGGTACTTGACTGGCCTGACTACAGTCCAGACCTGTCTCCCTTTGAAAATGTGCGGTGCATTACGAAGTGTAAAATACAACAACGGAGACCCTGACCTGTTGAACAACTGAAGCTATATATCAAGCAAGAATGGGAAAGAATTCCACCTTCAAAGCTTCAATAATTAGTCTCCTCAGTTCCCAAACATTTATTGAGTGTTGTTAAAAGGAAAGGTGATGTAACACAGTAATAAACATGTCCCTGTCCCAACTACTTTGGCACTTGTTGCAGCCATGAAATTCTGAGTTAATTATTATTTGAAAAAAAAATAAAGTTTATGAGTTTGAACATTGAATATCTTGTCTTTGTAGTGTATTCAATTGAATATTGTGGTGAGACGCCTCCTCCTTCTGTTTTATTTTGGCTGGACTTCCTGTGTTTCTGTGTTTGCCTGGTCTGGCTTTACTCTCTTCCAGAGCTTCCTCCCCTCCCCCGGTCACTGAAGCTGAGTGAGACTACACACCTGCTCTTCATCTGCAATCAAGGCACTTTAAGAAGCCAGCAGCCCTCAGTCTCAGCGCCTGAGTATTGTCTTCACTTCCAAGTGGTATAGACGCGTCTCCTGGCCTCCTTCCTTTGAAATTAGTATTCGTAATTCTGCTCCTGATTCATTGTATGTTCACTCACTTCCCTCTCCTCTGTTTTTCCTGCAGTGTCTCCAGCCCACACGACAACCAGCCTACCGGACTTCCTCTTTTTTGCCTTTAAACCTGAGTTTGGACATTAAAATTACACCTTAAGTTGATCTCTGTCTCTGTGTCTGCTTCTGGGTCCTCACAACTCACCAGTCATGCCACAGAATATAGGTTGAAAAAGATTTGCAAATCATTGTATTCTGTTTTTATTCACGTTTATCACAATTTCCCAACTTCAGTGGAATTGGGTTTTGTAGATCTAACTCGCTTAATAATCCCGCATGTTAAAATCAATTCACTTGCCAGCCTGATCAGCCCCCGCTGTGAACAATGGGTGCACGAGCTCCCCCTCCTTTGGTTCATGCCCCACATGAATGGGTTAAAAGGGCTGAGCTGACACTACCCACTCTCTTATCATCTCTTATCATCTTTGCTCTTATCGTCTTTTTGTCTCGTGTGTATTTCCCCGTTGTTGGCATTTTTGTCTCCGTCCATGGTCTTGTAACTTTTCCCCATGTTTTTATTCGCCTTAAGTTTTCAGACTTTTCCAGAAACTTGATGAAACCATACCCAAGTTCCTTCAGGGCATCAGTAATTAGCTGCACACATAGAGTTCCTAAGTCTAGGTCTTTTATTTTGTTTAGTTTGCTATAGTGACTCCTGAAAATAATATCGGCTGGTCAGTGAAATTATTTCCTTAAGTTATTGGCGTGAATTAATCTGCAGAAAAGCTAATCCTGAACACCCAGAGGACCGACCTGCATCATCTGCCGAGCTGCGTTTGCCACAAGGTTCCGGAAGGAGAGCACTGTGGGACCCACGGGACGCATTTGGCGTGCATTTGTGTGTGACGACAGATTCATCGTTCGGCCAGCTGCTAGCCACCCCGCAAAGACCACCTGTAGCCTGGGCCTTCGGTGATCCGCTCCAAGATTGCCACTGAGAACCATCATCAATAAGTAGGCAAACCCTCGACACTGAAGAACCGGTGATGCTGTCAAGCGTTCAGAGCTTATAATTTTGATTATAGTTTAGTTTCTCCAAATTCCTCTTCCAAATTTATCCTTGTTAACCCCGTTAACGTAGGTTAAAATTTTCCTTATCCACTCACTATCATTAACCTCCAGGCTTAGCTCAATTAAAACCATTCCTTAATTTATTCATTAGATGTTTGTTTATTTTCTCATTATTTGATCATTATTTATTGAATTTCTGTTATCACCTAGCATTTGTCAATAAATTGTCCATTTAATTTTAAGTTGTCGTCTCTTAGTGGTCCTTCAGAAGTGAAGTCCCTGAAATGAGATAGATTAGATTAGATTAGATCAGATTAGACTAAATTAGATTTGATCAAATCAGGTTAGTTTAGATTAGATTAGATTAGATTAGTTTAGATGATATTAGACTAGATTAGATTAGAATAGTTTAGATGATATTAGACTAGATTAGAATAGATTAGATCTGATTAAATTAGATTAGACTAGATTAGATAAAATTAGATTAGATTAGATTAGATCACATACACCTGTTTAAAACCCCTATTTCTAAACTACTACTAAATTGACAAACTTTAGTCGTCAGTGAGTGAAACTTGTTCAGTCATGAACAGCAGCTCCTCCTCCAGGTCAACATACAAACACACACTGAGGGTCTGGGATTATAAATCTTTGATCACAGATTTTCATCAGGGTAAAAATCTCTGTTGTTTCTGAGTCTCTGTATTCACGCCGCGTGTTGCTCTGCAGACTAATTGGTCATGACTGCGGAGATAAATAACTTACCCAGCATGCACTGCTGTCAGAACCAAAACAACACTGACAGGGAGTCCGACAGGAAACATCAAACGTCTGAATAAACAGATGTATGGAGGAAACAGACACGCTACTGAGCATGCTCAGTGGAGTCACACAGGGTCAGACAGTTTACTGTTAATGCTTTAACTGAAAGACACGTCAGGAGTCCTGAACCTCTTCTTTATCTACCTTCACACAGACACACTCACACACTCACACACACACACACACACACACACAAACACACACACACACACACACACACACACACACACACACACACACACACACACACTCATTGCACTCTTCACCCCGAGGCTGTAATCAGGGAAATGTTCTAGCAAATTTGTTGTGCAATAGCAACCCCGAAGGAGTCTGAGTAATGATGCACTACAACAAACACACTCACACTATAACACACACACACACAGCATCATTGCGTGTGTGTTTGCATTATTGTTCACTTTGATGCAACTAGATTTTAAACTCAAAGAGCCAGGAGCAGGAGCAGCAGCAGCAGACAGACTAAAGAGCACACACTCCTGCTGTGTATTTAACTCTGCAGATGCTCACAGGCAGACATGAAAAAAATATAAAACTCATGTTTGTTAAAAGAATCAGACAAAGTTGGATCAATCTGAAGACCTGAGAAAACATCTCCACCACCACAGATCCTCAGTGAAGGAAAGAACCGGTCATGTCACATCATCCTGGTCTTCCTCACTTCTTCTGGTTCTGTTTGGATCTCTGATAACTAAAAACAGGCATCATGGAGCTTCAGAGGTGAGAGCTGTCAGAGGAGGATCATCTCCACATGTCACATTTACTGTCAGATCTAACCCTGAATTTCCACTGCATCTGAAACAGCTCCGATCCAGAACACCGTCCGACAATTCCTACCAGATCCATTGGTGAGGCGAATTTCGTGGCGGATTATGGACAGCGGAAATCCTGAGAACTCACAAGAACCCGCGGATTCACGTTCAATCGTATGATAACAAGCTGTCTCTATAAAGACAGACACATAGACATATAAGCAGTAGATTGTGTCCTTCCAGTGGAGGAAATCTACTTCTAGACTTCTAGAATCAGCATCTCCTCATCCATGGTGTCATTGGGGTGAAATGACAACTAAAAACCTTTCACTTGTTTGTCTCCGCCCGTTTGCATGGTGTGAAATACGATCCTCCTGAAACACGGAGTGTTTTATTTTGAAAAGAAGCTGGAAGTTTTATTTTGTGTGCAAGCCGGTGGAAATTGACACATTAACTTATAGATACGATCTTTTCAGAGCCATTCAGGATGCGGTTGAAATTCGGGGGTAAGAGAACGTTGGCTCACAGTTTTCTCACCTAAACCAGCAGGTGACCATCAGGTGAGCTTGGCTCTCTTCTCGTTCACTCAGAAGGTCCTCTGCTTCTTGAAGGTGTGGTCCACATGTGTCTGCAGTAATGTGGATGTGTTTTTGATGAACTCATCTGCAGATGGGGGAGCACATTTGTAGGAAGTTGACCTTCTGATGGGGGTGGCACAGTGGTGTAGTGGTTAGCACTGTCGCCTCACAGCAAGAAGGTCCTGAGTTCGAATCCAGCTCAGGGCGTTTCTATGTGGAGTTTGCTTGTTCTCCCTGTGTCTGTGTGGGTTTACTCCGGTTTACTCCCACATCCCAAAAACATACTTAAGTGGGGTCAGGTTAACTGGCCACTTTCAAATTGCCCATAGGTGTGAGTGTGGATGGTTGTTTGTCTCTATATGTCAGCCCTGCGATGAACTGGCGACTTGTCCAAGGTGTCCACTGCCTTCGCCCTAAGATGCTGGGATAGGCTCTAGCCCCCCTGCGACCCCGGGAACAGAGATAAGCGGTAGAAAATGGATGGATGGATGGACCCTCTGATTGTAAGGTGAAGTGCTGTAATGTTTCAAATTCAATCAATCAAATTTTATTTATATAGCGCCAATTCACAACAGTCGTCATCTCAAGACGCTTTTCAAGGAACAAGAGCAGGTCAGGACCGCGCTCATTGTTTGATGATCAAGAACCAACCTAAGATGGGTTTTGGCCCATCTCAACTAACATGAGTAGCAGTGGCAAGGAAAAACTTCCTTTTAACAGGCAGAAACCTTGGGCAGGACCAGACTCATGCTAGACAGCCACCATGCCGCTGCTGGGTTGGGGTGGAATGTAGAGAGAAGAGGGGAGAGGAGGAGAGGACAGGGGAAGGGAGAGAGACAGCAAGATAGGGGAAAGGCGAGAGAGAATTAGTACGGAGAGGGAGGGGGAGGGAGAGAGAGTAGGGAACGAGGGTGAGAGAGAGACAGGAGGCAGCAGGAACAACAGCAACAACGACAACAGCTCATGTAATGGTGAAACAAAAGACGTTCAGTTTACAGGTTTAGGATATGAGTGATAATGGACAATGTTGAATTAATTGAGTGTGATTACAGTTAGCAGGCTTAATCGTAGTCAGTTCTATTTTGTATGTCAATAATGACAGTGAGGCTGATGTTCATGTCTGCAGTAACAGTAACAGCAACAGTCCAGAGGAATCAGAGAGAACAAGGAGCTCAGGGGGGGGGGGGTCCACGGAGCCAAAGAGATGGAGGAGCTCAGGGCCCAGGATGGATGCAGCTGGGGTCAGGCAGTTCCGCAGCAGACCGTTTGCAGCATTAGTCCAGTGGCAGCTAAAAGACTCAGAGACACTCAGAGAGACAGAAAACTGGTCAGTGACTTATATGGGACATAAAGATCTAAAGAGGAGATAGAGACAGACTCTAGCTCAGTGTGCCAGATAGCCCCGGCAGTCTAGGCCTATAGCAGCATAACTAAGAGCTGGTTCAAATCAGCCCTGACTATAGGCTTTATCAAAGAGGAACGTTTTAAGTCTACTCTTGAAAGTTGAGAGTGTGTCTGCCCCCCGAACCTCGAGCGGTAAATGATTCCAGAGGAGAGGTGCCTGGTAGCTGAAAGCTCTTCCTCCAACACTACTTTTAGAGACATTTGGTACAACGAGCAGACCTGCAGACTGTGAGCGTAACGGTCTAGATGGAAAGTACGGTATAACTAGCTCGTCGAGATATGATGGCGCCTGGCCATTAAGCGCTTTATATGTCACAAGGAGGATTTTAAACTCAATTCTATATTTAATAGGGAGCCAGTGAAGAGAGGCTAAAACAGGGGAGATGTGCTCCCTTCTACTAGTTCTAGTCAATACCCGAGCTGCTGCATTTTGGACCAGCTGAAGAGTCCTTAATGACTTACTAGAGCAGCCTGATAGGAGAGAATTACAGTAATCCAGCCTAGAGGTAACAAAGGCATGGACTAGTTTTTCTGCATCGCTCTGAGACAATATGCGTCTAATTTTTGAGATATTGCGCAGGTGGAAAAAGGCTGTCCTAGAAATTTGTTGAATGTGGGAGCTAAAAGATAAATCCTGATCAAATACAACTCCTAGATTACGCACAGTGGGGTTGGATGCCAGGCTGATACCATCAAATGTAGCTAAATTACTAGAGAACGCCTCTCTAAGGTGTTTAGGACCGAGGACCAGAACTTCAGTTTTGTCTGAGTTGAGCATTAGAAAGTTATTGGTCATCCAGGATTTTATATCTTTGAGGCAGGCTTCTAACCTGGCAACCTGGCCTGCTTCCTCTGGCTTTATGGATAGGTATAGCTGGGTGTCATCTGCATAACAGTGGAAATTAATCGAATACTTCCTCATAATTTTACCCAGCGGAATCATATACAGGGTGAAGAGGATTGGACCGAGCACTGACCCTTGCGGCACACCGTAGCAGACTTTGGTGTGTGCAGAGGATTTATTATTTACATTGACAAACTGGGATCGATCTGTTAGGTACGATTTAAACCAGGAGAGAGCTGATCCTGCTATGCCTATAGATTGTTCTAGTCTCTGAAGCAGGATGGAGTGGTCAATTGTGTCAAATGCTGCACTAAGATCTAACAGGACTAGAACAGAGAGAAAACCATTGTCTGAGGCTATGAGTAGGTCATTTGACACCTTTAGCAGAGCAGTCTCTGTGCTGTGATGGGTTCTAAACCCAGACTGGAAATCCTCTAATAAACCATTGTTATGGAGAAAATCACAGAGTTGATTCGCAACAACTTTCTCTAGGATTTTAGAAATAAAAGGAAGGTTGGATATTGGTCTATAGTTAGCTAGGGAGCTTGAGTCTAGAGTAGGTTTTTTAAGGAGAGGCTTAATCAATGCAGTCTTGAAAGACTGGGGAACATATCCTGTTAATAAAGACGTGTTAATCATTTTGAGCAGGGACGTACTAATCAAAGGAAGAGTTTCCTTCAGCAATTTAGATGGAATTGGGTCTAAGAGACACGTCGATGGTTTGGCTGCTAGCACCACTGACTTTAACTCAGGAAGGTCAATAGGTACAAAATTACTAAGGTGCACCAGAGGCCTTAGGGGCTCCTCAACATTTTAAGGGTTATCTGAGAGAGAGACCCTTGATGGAGTCAATAGGTTACTAATTTTACCTCTTATTTTTAAGATTTTATCATTGAAGAAGCTCAGGAAGTCATTGCTGCTAAGGGCTAATGGGATACATGGTTCAGTGGTGCTCGGACAGTCTGTCAGCCTGGCTACAGTGCTGAAGAGATATCTGGGGTTATTCTTATTTTCCTCAATAAGAGACGAGTAGTAGGTTGTCCGAGCACGTCGTAGGGCTTTCTTATATTTATCGAGACATTCCTGCCAGAGAAAACGAGCTTCAGCTGTTTTGGAGAAGCGCCAAATCCTTTCACATTTTCTTAATAACTGTTTCAGCTCACGGGTTTCAGCATTATACCACGGGGCTAGCCTCTCGCGTGTAATAGTTTTCTGTCGAAGAGGGGCAACTGAGTCTAGAACTGATCGCAGTGTGCCTGAGGTATCATCAACAAACTGGTCGAGTTGCAAAGGACTGATGTTTAAATATGAGCTATCAGTATAGTTTTTCTCAACTACAGAATTTAGAGCAGACGGAATTACCTCCTTGAACTTAGTAACAGCATTTTCAGACAACCTTCTAGTTAGCACGAATTTGTTGTGAGGAGAGTAACCTGAAAGCACAAATTCAAAAGTTACTAGAAAGTGATCAGATAATAGAGGATTTAATGAGCTGACTAACAGGGCATCAGTTTCGAGGCCATAAGCCAGGACGAGATCGAGAGTGTGGTTAAAGCAGTGCGTAGGTCTATGTACACACTGTGTAAACCCAATTGAATCTAGCAAGGACCGAAAAGAAATGCTAAGGCTATCATTTTCCACATCTATGTGAATATTAAAGTCACCGACGACGATGACTTTATCTGCGAGAAGGACTAATTCGGATAGGAACTCTGAGAACTCTGACAAAAACTCAGAGTATGGGCTCGGAGGGCGGTAAACTATAGCAAAATACCAGTGGTCTCATGGACTTTGAGGCTGGGTGCGGGAGACTGAGAACGAGACTTTCAAAAGAGTTATAATCTAGTTTTGGTCTTGGGTTAATTCTAAGACTGGAATTGTAGATAGCTGCAACTCCACCACCTCGGCCAGAGTCTCGAGGAATGTGAAAGTTTAGGTGGCTAGGAGGAGTGGATTCATTTAAACTTACATATTCATCCTTACGCAGCCATGTTTCGGTTAGGGAGAGTAAATCAATGCGATGATCAGAGATTAGTTCATTTATGAACACAGATTTTGAATTTAGAGACCTTATATTCAGTAGGCCACATTTTATCTTACTAGTACTTGGTTCAGCTATGTTAACAGTTTTAATTCTAGTAAGGTTCTTGTTATTTACTCCTTTTTTAATTGATCGGTTAGAATTTGAGAGCCGAGTACGAGGGACAGACACAGTCTCTATATTAAAGTGACAGTAGCTAGGAGGCTGCTCTAACAAAAGTACAGAGGAACGTGTAGAGCTGTGGCTATGCTCCCTGATTTCTATGTCAAGCTGAGAGAAGCTTGGAAGCTGCTCTGAAGGGAGTACAGAGGGACGTTTTACACTGTGGCTCTGCTCCCTGATTTCTATGTCAAGCTGAGAGAAGCTTGGAAGCTGCTCTGAAGGGAGTACAGAGGGACGTTTTACACTGTGGCTCTGCTCCCTGATTTCTATGTCAAGCTGAGAGTAGCTTAGAAGCTGCTCTGAAGGGAGTACAGAGGGGCGTTTTACACTGCGGCTCTGCTCCCTGATTTCTAAGTCAAGCTGATTGTAGCTTGGAAGCTGCTCTGAAGGGAGTACAGAAGGGCGTTTTACACTGCGGCTCTGCTCCCTTGTCTCTGTGTATAAGTGGTAGTGGCTGGGAGGCTGCTCTAAAAGAGGCGCAGGGGGGCGTGTAAGACTGCGGCCCTGCTCCCTGATCTCTGCTTTGAATTGTCAGTGGTTCGGATTAATAAAATCGGCCAGATTTCTGGATAAACGGGCCGCTCCATCTCGGGTGGGATGAATGCCGTCCCGACTAATCAGACCAGGCTTGCCCCAAAATGACTTCCAATTATCAATGAAGCTCACGCCGTTTTGTGGACACCACCTCGACAGCCAGCGGTTGAATGATGAGATACGGCTACACATCTCATCAGTTGTCTGATCGGGCAGGGGACCAGAGAAAACTATGGAGTCCAACATGGTCTTGGCATATTCACACACCGATTCCACGTTCAATTTAGAGACTTCCGACTGGCGGCGTCGGGAGTCATTTACGCCGACATGTATTACAATCTTACGGAATTTAGGTTTAGCCTTTGCCAGCAGTTTTAAACTACCTTCGATGTCGCCCGCTCTGGCCCCTGGGAGACACTGAACTATGGCCGCTGACTTCGCTAATTTCACATTTCGGACTACAGAGTCTCCAATCACAAGAGCGTCAGGCTCAGCAGGTGTGTTGCTGAGAGGGGCAAATTTGTTTGAAATGTGAATGTGGTGGTCTACCGTGGGCTTCTTAGGTCTACTGCTATGCTTCCCTTTCACAGTGACCCAACCACTACTACATCCCGGCTGCTCGGGATTCGCCAGGGGGGAGGCTAAGCTAGGCCGACCCGCACCGGCTACCGAGTCCTGGCTGGCTATCGCTACACTAGCATCGGTGCGGAGCCGCTTTTCTAACTCTGTAATCCTCGTCTCCAGAGCTAAGAATAAACTACACTTAAAGCAGGTATCGTTATCGTCTAAGGAGGACGAGGAGTAACTGAACATCTGACACACTGAGCAGAAGCGAGCAGGAGAAGCAGGCGACCGGGGGGAAGCCATCGTTAGCAAGTGTAGCTAAAAGAAGCTAAGCTAGGAGCTAGTAAAGTAAATGGTCAGAGAGATCGCCCGGAGTGGAGATAAAAACGGTGCTTGGTGAAAACTATCAGAAATTCTTACAGACTTTCTAAACAGACAGATGTACTGATAAATTACAGATAGAAAATAAACCAAAACAGCAAGAGAGCGCTTTCAGGAGGAAACGAAACGCTACACACAGTTCAACAGCAAGAATGGGAATGAAGCAATGCGCACGCTCACCAGCGTGTTTCTTCTGCAGAAAACCTGAACCAGCTCACAAACCAGTCCTCCCTGCAGTTTTTCATCACAGCTGACTCTACGCCTCCTCTTCAAAAACACCAAAATATCCCTTTAAATCTGAGATGATTGAGGCGGATATTTAAAGAAATGAAACCATCATGATGCTCACATACGGACTAGACTCGGCCCTGACTCTGTTCACATCCACATGGTTCCTCCTCCTCCCTCTACCTCTCCTCCATCATCCTGCTCCACCTATCTTCTCCTCTATCTCCTTCCTACAGCTCCCATCTTCCCTCCTAGCGTCCCCCCAACGCTTCTCCATCACCTCCATCCTCAGAAGGGAGGCCATCTGAGTGACTCTATCTCCTCCATCAGTAAATCCTCCGCTGAGGTTACTGAGCATTGCTGAGCAGTTATTTCATTGTGTGTTTTAGGAGGAGAAGGACCTTTGTGTGTGTACTGTATACATATATCCGTGTGTCTTTGCCTGAGGGGAGGTTTCTGCAATGTAACAGTGTGTGTGTGTGTGTGTGTGTGTGTGGGGGGGGGGGGGGGGGGATCGAGGGTGTGTATCAGAGTAAGTTTATCAGCAGCTGGGTCTGATTGGAATTGGGCCTGAGGACAGAAAAGTAATATAGTGTAGAAGTAAGATCTGCTCTCATCAGAGCCCAGGGTGTGTGTGTGTGTGTGTGTGTGTGTGTGCAGCAGATCTCTGATAGGCTGCAGAGGTTATGGTTCACTCTGACTGTCACTTTGTGTGTTTGTTCCTGTTTTCATGTGTTTGCTGCATCAGGGTGGAGTCTGTAAAGGCGGTAAAAACACACACCTGTAAAGTCTGTTTAAATTTATTCAGTTTTAAATATAAAGTTCAGATCAGAGTTCTAAATATAAAGTTGGACACACCTGTAAACTCTCAGTGCCACATCTGTTAAGTTTTGTTAATTTGTTGGTTCAGTTTTCTTTATTTTTGCGCATCTATGTTTTATTTCTGTCTTCAAGATCTGTTTCTGTCTGCCCCGCCCCCGCCTCGTCACACCTGTTACCTGATTGTGTCTCCTCACCTGTTTCCTATCACCCACGTTAACTCTTGTATGTCTCTGTGCCTCGTTTCATGACACTCAGGCTGTCTGAATCGACTCCGTTTTGAAGATAAAGTTCAGATCGACTCTTTAAACACAACTGAGCCTCAAAAATAAAATTTAGTGGAAATGCTGATTAAGTATTTCCACTTATTGTTATTCTGTTCTTTATTAAACTTACCTTTATTAAACATACCTTTTTTGCAACATTTTTATTCTTTAAAAAGTTTATTTATTGTTATTCCCCTATTTCTTTATTATTAAGTGGAAATGCTGATTAAGCATTTCCACTTATTGTTATTCTCCTATTTCTTTATTATTTTTATCATTCTGTACCTTTTTTGCAACTTTTCATCTCCTTCATAATTTGTGCTATTTCAGCCGTTCAACTTTTAAACTATTCCTCTTCTTCAGGACATGTGCGGATGTATTTTTCACTTTTCTACCCCTTGTACTTTTTGGTATTTTTTACTTTTTGTGCAAAAGTTTTACCCATTGAAATGAATGGGGAAATCTTCAAATTCTTCCTTTTATTCTTCCACCTTCTGAGCCTTATAACTTTAGCATACTTTCACCTACAGACCTCATTTTTGCTTTAAAAAGTTCACAATCTTCTCCTCTAAATATGTTGCGTTGACTTTTTTGTGCTATCTCCTACAGTTTTTCCACAATTTAGCTTTATGCACCTAATGGTTTTCAGCAAATTCAGGCTTTATAATGGGTGTGTATTGGAGAAGCTAGAGCGATGATGTCATCGATAGAGTGGAGAGGTCCTCTTTGATCGACAAAACCTTGCTCGAATATATCGCTCTCACGCCCCTAAATTTTTCTCCACAGCCACAAAAAATACATCAAAATGGAGGAAAATGATTCCTGCTTCTCACAAAAGAGGTTTCAAATCATTAAATCATACCCATCACAGTTGTAAAGGATGCAATCATTAACGAGACACACACACACAGGCTGTGCCCGAAATGGCATACTGCCTACTGTCTTCTTACCTACTCAATCAGTACCTACTGCATACTGACTACTCAAAGATGATTTGAGTATGCCGCGGCTGCCCGTGCGTTTACATACAGATGCATACTAAATACCCCAGAATGCATTTCGTGCCGGCAGGACGCAGCGCCGGAAAATTTAAATAGTCCTACCACAAGCTACACAAAACGACTGCATTCCAGACAAATTATATAAATTCATTCAGAAATAATATTTTTTCTAGCAAGTAAGTAAGTGTTTACATCACGATTATGAGCCCAGTTGTTTGAAATAGCAGCTGTTTGTAAATTTGTCTCTGCCTTTTCGGAAACCGAAGCGTCCGCTTGGTGGGTGTTTGCGTCTACGTACCGTAAACACCGGGCAGCAGCAGCTCCCCCTTCACGTTTTCAAATTATTATGAAGTGTTTATATAATCAACAACTACACGACACAAACCGAGCGGCAGTGGATGAAAAAAATAACACAAACACCTGTGTATCCATGGTGATAATGCTATACACCACCTGCTGGGCGTGTGATGAGCAGCATAGGACTGCAAAATGACCGACACACAATATAATTATTATGACCTTGTTCCATTATTCCTTGGCAAATACATCATTTCCCGACTACATTCTTTTCATGTACAATGATAATTTCAGAAACCATCAGGTATTTCTGCCTGGTGTAGGCTGAAAACCATGGAGTGCCGCCATGCAAGAAGACAAGGGCGTCTTTTCTTCAGGGCAGCTATGTATTTCCTAATGGATTTTCAACCACAAATAAGAATTAGTAAAGCTCATATATACATTGTCATCTGGAATCTACCCCCTTTGTATATTCTGAACCATGTGCTCTCTACCAATAATAATTTTTATTAATCAGAGGTCTGTGCTTAATACGAGTGACCACTTTGATGATGCATTCAAAGATGAGAAGATGCTCAAACTTGTTGTAATAAATACATCTTTAAGAGACACTTAAATATATAAAGTCAGTTCATACTAATAGTTAAAAACATTACCTACAGTCCTAATTTAAAATACAAATCAATCTGGTTAAAAAATATGATAAAATGATAAAAAATATTGTGTAATGTATACTAACTAAATGTTTATCTATATATATATATATAGATCATTATTATTGCAATCACATGCCATCTATTTCTTTTCAGCCTCAGGAAAGAGGGCCATATTGCCAGCTAGAGTGCGCAATGAGTTGTAGGGCAGAAGCAGTACGTGAAGCAAGCTCCGCTCCATACTCACAAATCGAAGCGGATTGAGTATACATCCGGGCATTTCTCGCATAAACAAATTTCGCATACTGTATAGTGTGAACGCACTGCCTACTCAATTCGGGGGCGGGGTTAGTATAAGAAGTACGAGTAGTATGCCATTTCGGACACAGCCCCAGTCTGACAATGTGTGTGCGTGTGAGTCTCTGCCTATGACACTTGCATGTACACAGTAACTATGTGTGTGCGTTAGTCTGTCTCTATCTATGACACCTGCATGTACACACAGTAAATATGTGTGTGCGTTAATCTCTCTCTTTCTATGAGACCTACATATACACACAGTAAATATGTGTGTGCTTGAGTCTGTCTCTGTCTATAAGACCTACATGCACACACTTTGACCATGTATCTGCTTCACCACCTATCC